TATAAAGAGAATAGCAAGTATCAAATTATTATTGGCTTTGCTGTTCTATATGATCCAAGACTTGATACCAAATATTTGTAAAAATGAAACGTTCTACAGAAGGATGCTGAGAATACCATGAACAATGAATGTAATTAACAAGAAAGTTTTTATACTTAGAATCAGAAAAAAACAACTGAAATTTCTAGGACAGATAATGAGGAAAGAGGGTTTGCAGAATTTGACACACACAGGACATATTGAAAGCAAGATGGACATAGATAAGTATCAAGTAACCTCCCTAACGATGTTTGAGTCTCTCTCTAATTTCTTTATAATAATGAAATTCTCTCTGTCTCTTTCTCTCTCTCTCTCTCTCTCTCTCTCTCTTTCTCTTTCTTTAACACTTTACCATTCTCTTTCGTGTGTTCAAGTAACTCAGGTGTGCCATTGAAATAAAAGTATCTGTTCTTATAAGAATATGACATATAAAATTGTTTTCTTTTATCTCTTCATCTACTGTGTTTTTTTTATTATTTCCTTACTTGACCATTATTTCCATCAATCTTACTGTCTTTGTTTCAAAGTGCTTTATACATGTTATGACAGTGAATACTGGATAATCTCACAGATTAAGAAAAGACTTGAGGCAACAGAAATATAGTTCTACAGAAGGATGCTGAGAATACCATGTACCAAACATGTGATTAATGAGGAAGTTTTAAGTAAAATGGAAACAAAAAGGACACTCATACTTATAATCATAAAGATAAATCTGAAATTCCTTGGGCACATAGTAAAAAAAAATTAAAACATTGAGTAACGTAGCTAAGAAGCTTGTATAAATGGCTAGCAGAACAGTGACAGGTGTGATGGTTTCCCTCTTGTCTCTTTTACCTCAATATATCCTGTGAGTATAAAATTCTCCAATCCATCCGGAGGTGCCTGAAAATCAAGGATTTACCCAGGCCTTTTGAGTAAAAATGGACAGACAAAACTGTTTGAAAGCTTTTAACGGCAGTGCTAACACAAAATCACAAGGCCTTGAGCATCCTGGTCTTGTTCAAACTGGTAATCATATCAGATTATGCATTCTCTCCCTGAATCTTTAAGTGAGGTCTGCTCAGTATGTGTGTATAGCTGGTCGCTCATATTTGAGGATGCTCATCTACTAAGGTGTCTAGCCAATCGATACCTGTCTACTAGGGCAGCTTGCCAATCCCTATTACAGACGCTTGCTCAGGCACATTAGTGTTTATTCAAAACCCACAGAGCCTAACTGTGGTTTATACTGCAACTATACTGAGCAGAACTTAGTTACAGTTTTCTGGGAAAGAGCGTGTTATCTAGAATGATCAACAATTTGAACAAGGCCAGCATGCTCAAGCCCTTGGCCAGGATGACTTATGACTTTGCACTAACACAGCTATCAAAGGCCATCTGTCTACTCAATTTTACTCACAAGACTTGGGTCAACTCATGGTATGGTTTTCAGGCCCTTTTCAAAGATAACACACACTGGGATTGACCCCACTCTAGTCTGATAATATCAGGAAGTCTTCTTCCTGACAAATCAACATTTGTGAGATTTGAACTCAAGTCTCCTGTTCAAAATGCAAATGTTCTAACCACTCGGCTTACATACTCAGTATAGTTGCAGTTTAAACCACAGCCTCTGCATTGAAGAATAGGAGTCTGTAACAGGGATTAATTAGCTACCCTAATACGCAAATATATACAAGAGGCCAGCTATACTGTATAAGTGTACAAGAGTATGCATATGCATATATTTGTTTATGTATATGTGTACATTTTTGCATATATAACTGTATGAGTGTCTATATATGTGTGTATGTTTCTGTGCATACAATGTGTGTGTGCGTGTGTCTGCAGGTATTTTTGTATGAATGTCTGCATGTATGGATACCTACATGTAGTTCCGATTGAAAGAGCCATGAAGAAATTACAAGACCTGCCGATATCCAGTCAAACATATTTCCTGAATATTCACCGAGCAAATCAAATTTGAGCTTCCTTGTCTGCTTTTATGAAGACAGAAACAAATAACAATCCAGAAATGAACATTTATTTAATTAATCTTCTTGGGAGGCAAATAATGACCACTCACCTAAGGCAAATCACAAATTAAATTGAATAGAAAATGAAATAATATACTCAAGATAATACATTCTGATTTTCCATAAAATCTGATCATGAGCACTTCTTATTGAACAGGCAAGAAATATGAACATTAGGTTTAAGGCTCTCCTAGTTTTCCTTTAACCAGTATTTCTCTACTATGCGAAACAATAACAAATAGGCTATACGGAAGTATGTGCATGGTGTTTTGAGTGGGGCTTGCCAAAGTATAATAGAGTCATGCAAGTACCTTTAGAAAAAGTATGAATCCATCTCTTCTCCCTCTAGCTATAGGTTAAATAGCAGTGTAGACTGGGCTATCTAACCTTGGTTGGTAACCAGTCTAGAGATGGTGATTAATTAGAACATCCATACCTCAGCAGTCTGGATCACTTTTGAAAATGTGTTGGCTCTTAAAGAGGAACAATGATTGAAATTCTTGTCATGTGGGTTGTGCAATCTGCTGTAGACAAAGACAAAGTCTACTTTCATTTAGAGTAATCTTTATTGGTGGTTGTAATGATGTCTTTGTTCAAAATAACCGAGAATTAGGGATCCTCTAGTTTGAGGTTTATTAAATACTCATTCTTAGAACAGAAAATAAATCAAATACTACTCAAATCCTACTCTAATCTAGCTACTTGCCATAAGTAGGAGCAGTCCATTATCACAGTAGTAGGGAAGAGCAGGAAGTTTTCTGAGTCCTACTCTACAACAGTGGTTAAATAAAGGGTTCATTTCAAAATTCTATGAAGCACAATGTCTGAAATGTTGTTTATATCATCAGAGATGAGAACATTAATCTGAATGTATTTTTTTTTCATGATAGTTCACTCAGTACAAAATCCAAGGGTTATTGAGTAAGATTGTTAATTAGTGGGAAAGGTGGAAGTAAGTGAGCATCATGAGGATAAGTAGGATAGATATTAGTTAACCTTGAACTTAAAGAAACCAAGATTGTAATAGTCAGGGAAGCATCCTCTTAGGAGTTCTAGGGTAGACACTGTTTGAGTGGAACTTGCTTTATATCAATGGAACACAAAGGGGGAGCATGGCATGGTAGGTCTCTGAAGATCTGAGCTGGTGGAATTAAGGAATGTAACTTACCTGCACGTCTGCCATAGCAATAGCAACAGAGACTTGTAATGTTTCATCTGTGGAAAAGTGGTTGCAGGATAGAGAATAATTCATTACCCACAAGGCCATGTAAATGCTGTTGAACTCTGTCAAGGCTGGACAGTGAGGATTGTGTAGCACCAGCCCAGATATGGCAGCAATATTTCATTTTTGGTTTGATCTGACTTGTAAAGTTAGAGCTTAGTAGCTGGAGTTAAGTTTTTTCTAAAGTGATATAAAGAAATAGTCATTCTTCAATGAAAACTTAGTCAAAAATTTTTAAAATGATGACTAGGTTAAATCAAGATATATTAAAGTTAAATTTGGGTAGTTTTTTTTGGCCTTTGGTGGCAGCCAGTCTAGGAGAAAGAAAACACTAAATTCAAGCCTCCATTGTCTTCATTTGGTTCTCTGTGTTACACCAGAAGGTTTTTCATACATGAGTCCATCTTTCACATCTACAAATCTAACATTCTTCCATGGATGGAATACTGTTGCCATATATGGCCTGGTATCCCAGCTGTTCATCTCGACAAAATCAAAATATGGGATATGCAATATGATAGGTCTTGACCTGGCCTCTCAACTACAGTCACATTCTCATAGACATGATTTGGCTTCTCTCTGTATTTTCTACAAATTTCATGGCAATTCCTCTGACAAGTTACTTTCACTTGTAATCTATATGCATGAATACTACTGGGTTGGCATCTTGGTCCCACCCTTTCACTGTTGAAACAGTTAAATGTAACCATCTCTTCTACTCCAATATCTTCTTCTCTCACACTTCCTGACAGTGGAACTCCCTTCCTCTTAGTTGCTTCCCTGATAGCTATAATCTTCAAATATTCAAATATAATATCAATCGACATCTTCCGATGCCTTGATCATGATCCCTGTCCTTCTCTATATCCTTTCCTCAAACACCCTTCATTATGCTTGCTCTCATTCTATGTAACCCTTGCTTAGGATGAAATGCTTATAAAAAAAAAATTCCAAACTCAGAAATAGTTATGGGAGTAAATCCTAATAGAAAATCCCAAGTGAAATATCTAAGACAGTCATCCATCAACATTGACATGCTTCTGACAACTAATGCTGCCAATCCAATCCCAGACATAATACTTTTCTTTTAGAATTCTTCGGTTTGGTTGAGCAATGTATGGCCTCCAGACACCATCATTCATTTGAATCTAGGATGAGGCATCAAGTACATATGCTGCCACTATCTCTGCCAAAGTTTTTGGAGGTGTATTTGATTTCACAAAGAAGAAACTGATTATGACATGAATTCAGTAAATGGATGTACCATCTCACTAGACTTCTTCAACCTTTACAGCAAGGTGATCTGGAAGTCCTACCTAAATTTATTATTCGGGGTCACAATCTTAACCACATAAGATATGCAGCTGACACAATGTTGATTGCAGACACAGAAAGGAAGCTGCAAGAACTCCTACAAAAACTAGTAAAAGAAAGTGAGAAGAAAGGACTAACTATCAATTGTAAGAAGACAGACTGCAGTCAACAGCCCAAAATAAGAACTATGAATTAGGCACTGAAATTAAGCAAGTACAAACATTTAAATGTCTAGGAAGTGTTTTAACAAATGACAGAAAATGGAACACTGAAATCCAAAGGTGCATTGGGATAGCAAAAGTGCCTTCCAGAAGCTAAGCAAAGTATTAAGAAATTGTTCTACAAATGCGAGTAATGAAGAAAATGCATAGATAGATGTGAACAGCTTGTGATAAATAGATATGTACAGACTGAGAATGACAGATAGATAGATAGATAGATAGATGCAAACAGATTGTAATAGATAGATATGAACAGCTTGTGATAGATAGATAGATAGATAGATAGATAGATAGATAGATAGATAGATAGATGTGAAGAGATTGTGATAGATAGATAGATAAACAGGGAGAGACTGTGATAGATAGATAGATAGATAGATAGATGTGAAGAGATTGTGATAGATAGATATATAGACAGACAGACAGACAGATAAATAGGGAGAGACTGAGATAGATAGTTAGGGACAGAATGAGATAGATAGATAGATAGATAGATAGATAGATGTGAACAGCTATATAGATATATAAGATGATTATATTTAACATCAGGAAGAGATAGTTGAAATTACTTTAACATAGAATGAGGAAACAGGGCTTCGAGAATCTGATACTCACAGGATATATTGAAGCCAAGAGAGACAAATGAAAGCAGCAAGTAACCTACTTAATGAACTTGTGTAAATGGATGGCAAAACAGAAATGGGTTGGGAGAATTAATAAAATGTTACAAAGATACACCATGTGTATAAGACACACTCTTATTTTAAGATGCACCAGTGTATAAGATGCACTCTTATTTTAAAGACAATATTTTGGAATAAAATAGCTTCAGTCATATTTGAAATATTTTTATTGTATTTTAAGAATATGACTAATAAAATGATTTTCTTTTTAGCTATTCATCTTTTTTTTCTATGTGCTGTGTCCCCTCAGGACTTAGGTGATCATGGCTCTCCACAATTTCCTGTCCTTTGTAACTCTTAATAAAAGTTCCCTTTGCACAGCTTCTTCCCAAGAACCACTACTTTATAGAAAAGACTCCCAAGAGAATGCTTCTGTGATCAATTTTAACCTTTTCAAGTCTTGGGTTAACAGTTATCTCTCTAAACAAACCTCATTCAGTAACTCTTGAGCGGCTCTTGAGCCTTGATTGGGTGACCACTTGTGAATACCACATGTTGTTAGTTTAGATCTGCAATTGGTTGTAATGGATAAACAGCTTTGGAATTGGAAATCAGATAGCTGACCTCTAATTCCAGTTGAGTTTGTTATATTCACTTGCATACAAATTGTTGGAGTCAGAATTAATGCAAAACACTTACCACTTAACAATTTATAGACAGAAGCACAAAAATACATTCTGGAATTTATTTCTAGCCAATAAAATAGGCTGATTCTTGGTTTCATTTGACTCATGGCTTATATGTCTTGTCTTGAAATCTGAACATTAATTTTGCTGGTTTGAAATGGCTTGAGTGTGTCAACGCCAATTCTTAGTTTGTGAACTTGCTTTGCCTTAATACTGTTGCTTTGCCATATTACTGTTGCTTTGCCTTAATACTGTTGCTTTGCCTTATTGTTGTTGCTTTGCCATATTACTGTTGCTTTGCCTTAATACTGTTGCTATGCCTTATTACTGATGCTTTGCCTTAATACTGTTGCTTTGCCTTATTACTGATGCTTTGCCATATTACTGTTGCTTTGCCTTAATACTGTTGCTTTGCCTTATTGTTGTTGCTTTGCCATATTACTGTTGCTTTGCCTTAATACTGTTGCTATGCCTTATTACTGATGCTTTGCCATATTACTGTTGCTTTGCCTTAATACTGTTGCTTTGCCTTATTGTTGTTGCTTTGCCATATTACTGTTGCTTTGCCTTAATACTGTTGCTATGCCTTATTACTGATGCTTTGCCATATTACTGTTGCTTTGCCTTAATACTGTTGCTTTGCCTTATTGTTGTTGCTTTGCCATATTACTGTTGCTTTGCCTTAATACTGTTGCTATGCCTTATTACTGATGCTTTGCCTTAATACTGTTGCTTTGCCTTAATACTGATGCTTTGCCTTAATACTGTCAATTTGCCTTGCATATATATTGTTTGCTTGCTTTATATTATGCTTTACCTTGTTCTTTTCTTTTTCTTGTTATTGCAAACTTTGTTAATTCTGTTTGTTGTAAAGTTCTGTCACTTATTTTGCATTTAACCATGTCTACTCATTCTACAAGAGCAAAAGAAAATGAGAAAAACATTTGTGAGGAAAAAGGACAATAAAAGAACAAACTTCAGGAAGACAGAAGGTGGTAATTGACATTGCGGTTAAATTAAAATTTAAAGATTTTAGGTGGCAGGGAAGCCATTTTCTCTTGCATGATGTGTAGACTACAAAAGGATTCAAAATCTAACATGTCAATAACATTACACTCACTAATTGCCTCCAAAAATGTCACAAAACTAGGAAAATAAAATAGAAATCTTTAAAAAAAATGGTTACAGACCAAGTATTGTTGATTCAAATCTCACTAGGAATGACTGCAAAATAGTTTCCACTCCCCAAATTTATAGACAGGACCACACAAATACACGCTGGAATTTTTTCCTAGTCAATAAATTAGGCCTGTTCTCTGTTTCATCTGACTCAGTCCCAGTCTGTCTTGAAGATCAGAATGTTAAATTTGCTTGTCTGAACTTATTCCTGAATGTCAACTCCAGTTCTTAGTTTGTGAACTTTTTGCCATATTACTGTTGCCTTATTCACTGTCAATTTGCCTTGCATACACTGTTTGTTTGCTTCATACTATTTTTTGCCTTGTTTTTTTTCTTTTTTCTTGTTGTTACTTATTGCAAACTTTGTCAATTCTGTTGGAGAGTTCTGTTACTTATTTTGCATTTAACCATTGCTACTCACTCTCCTTGGGAAAGGTATGAATCTATCACTTCTTCCCCCCAGCTATGGGCTAAATAGGATAGACTGAGTCCTATAGCATTGACTGGCAACCACTGAAGGTCTCCTTCTGTCCTATTAGAATTAAGGGAATGCCATATCATTTGCTTCAGTGTTAACTATGGTTGGCGATTTCATTTGAACATATGATTAATGCATTTGGTGCAAACATATGTGCAAATATCTTTACAAGTGTACAGAACAAAGGCATGCAATTGTTCTGGTCTATACATACAATAATATATAATAAAATTAAGAAGCACTTCACAGTTAACTTTTTCTTTCTTTTTTTTCTATAAATTATGTCTTTCTTTTTTTCCTTTTCTTTTTTTCCTTTCTTTCTTAAACCAGATGTTACTCCTCATAGGACATTTATTATTATTATTATTATTGTTGTTGTTGTTGTTGTTGTTGCTGTTGTTGGTGGTGGCGGTAGTAGTGGTGGTTGTGGTGGTGGTGGTGGTGGCTTTGTGGTTGTTTTCTCATACAGTTGTGTTTCTTTCTGTTTAAACCTAAACCAAAAAAGGAGTGATTTAATGAAGAAAAAATCCCAAATAAAACAAGAAAAATGAGAAAGAAATGTCAGATAAAAGTATGGAATGAAAAAATGAATAATAATGAACAAAACAATGAAAGATTTAAAGAATAAATGAATGATTAAATGAAAAAATAAATAAAGAAGAATGAAAGATAAATGGAAACAAAAGGAATGATTTAATGAAAAAATTGATAAAATGAAAGACAAAACAAATAAAAACATTTATTGAAAAGTAAATAAAATAGAATGAAAAAGTAAACAAATGATAATGGAAGACAAAGTAAAAATATTTAATGAAAAAAATGATAAAAAAGGAAAAAGACAAAGAAAAAGAATGGAAAATTTAATGGAAAATGTAAAAAATTAATGAAAGATGAAATAAAAATATTTAATGTGAAAATAATAAAATGAAAGAAAATAAAAAGATGTAATGAAAAAAATGAATAAAAAAGGAAAAAAGAGAAGGAGTAAAAAAAATGAATAATTTAATGGAAATATTAAAAAATTAATGAAAGATGAAATAAAAATATTCAATGGGAAAATAGTAAAAAGAATGAAAATAAAAAGATGTAATGAGAAAAATGGATAAAAAAAAGAAAAAAGACAAAGGGTAAAAAAATGAATAATTTTATGGAAAATATTAAAAAATAATGAAAGATGAAATAAAAATATTTAATGGAAAAATAGTAAAAAGAATGAAAATATGTAAGATGTAATGAAAAAAATGACAAAAAAGGAAAAAAGACAAGGGGTTAAAAAATGAATAATTTAATGGAAAATATTAAAAAATTAATGAAAGATGAAATAAAAATAATGAAAAACTAGTAAAAAGAATGAAAATAAAAAGATGTAATGGAAAAAATGAATAAAAAAGGGAAAAAGACAAAGGGTAAAAAAATAGAATAATTTAATGAAAAATATAAAAAATTAATGAAAGATGAAATAAAAATAATTAATGAAAAAAATAGTAAAAAGAATGAAAATAAAAAGATGTAATGGAAAAAATGAATAGAAACAAATATAAACCAAAAAAAGGATACCCCGCAAAAAAACAATGAAAGAATAAAGGAAAAAAAATTGTTTTGGTGAAAAATATATTCCAGTGTTCTTTCTCTGAACTTAGCATGTTGTACACAAGCTTTACATTTTTCTTTCATATGATTATGTGTGGATAACTCTGAAATAAGGATGACAGAAGAAAGTGCATGCTGGGTAATCCCATTGTATTTTGATAGCAAAGCAGACAATTCATATACACGCACATGATAGTCAACAATATCGGTCCCTGCCTCTCAGCAGCATAGGAACCAAATTCGAATCAATATAATGATTAGTTTTGAGGACTTTTATTTACCTGGCATAGAAATGAAAGAGAATAATGAAGAGATATTACTTATCTCTTTTTTTATATCATTTATCTCTTATTTACAATGGAGAACAGTGAACCTAACAAGCCCCAATCGTCAGTGTTTGAATATGAAGAAATGTAGGGATTAGAAAAAAGACCATCAGTTATGCTTTGTTACAATGTGAGAGAGGTCTTTTGTAAGGACAAAAGCATAGGGAGAAAATACAGCACCTATTTATTTTGACAACATTAACTTATTGAGAACACGTGGGGGTGAATAGTTGTTTAGGATTTTCTTTAACTTTTTTTTTATTTTTTTACATATGAACGTGGATTGTGGCTGTGGTGGTGGGAAAGATGGTTTTTTTTTCCTCCTCCTCGTTCTCCAACAGCAACTCCATTGCTTAGCATTTGATATGTCGTATCTTGTCCATTGTGTTCATCTCTACTGAACCCAGACATTTGTTGATTCACAGAATCGAGACATCAATTCTTTGATGGAATTTTGGTTCAGTTTTCTGTTCTTTGGTTCTTTTGAGCAAGAAATATCTTCGAGGAGTTTAGAGGCAAACAGAAAAGCGAAAAGAATGGCAGATTCTTTACTGCAAAAGAGTCTCTTGTTTACCAAATATCAACAGGATCTTTCTTCTTTCTCCCACCTCTCTCTCTTTCTCTTTCATTTTCTCTTCCTTTTTCCCTCTCTTCCAGTCATGGTAATATGACAAGAAGGTCAACATGCATGAGCCAAAACAGATATGAATAAAAAATGAAGTAACAATTGGCCTTTCCATCATGGAACTTTGAGGGATTGAACCAAAGAAAGAAACTTCAAAAGTGACTTCCATGAAAATGTTTTCTTTGAATAAGAAAGAACAATAAAAATCAAATACTGAATTTCTTGTAAAAAAAATAAAGAATTTTGTCCCAGAGGATAAAATTTTAAGAAAGGTCATAAAATTGCAAATACTGAATATTTTGAGAAAAATGAGAAATTTTGTTTTAAAGAATAACATTTTAAGATTAGAATCAAAAAATTGAAAATGCTGACCGTCTTGAAAAAAAAAATGATATTTTGGTCTTTAAACAAGAAAAAATATGCAAGTGAAAATACAGAATTTCTTTATGAAAAATATACCTGCATTATTTACATTATTCAGACTGCTATCCAGAAGAGGCATGGCACGTGGAACTAGAACAATCTAGTGGATGAAATAAAGGGTTCGGTTTGAAATTCCAGTCACCTGATGAAGGCTGGGGCATACAATGGCCAAAATGTTGGGAATATAGCAATGAAGATGAGGATAACAGTCTGGATAATGTAAATAATCATCTTCATTGCCATATTCACAATATTTCGGTCTGTATATCTCTGAGATTAAATATTATGATTATTTGCATTATTTAAATTATTCAGACTGTTATCCTCATCTTCACTGCCATATTCACAATGTTTCGGCCTCTATATCTCTGAGATGAGGTATTATGATTACATGCATTATTTACATTATTTGGATTGTTATCCTCATCTTCATTGCCATATTCACAACATTTCAGACATTGTATGCTCCACTGGTCTCTTTATCCACTAGGCTATGTGTCCTCAAGAACACATAGCCCAGTGGATAAAGGTGTTGGTTAGATCCAGTGACTAGACCTAAAGACTTTTGAGTTCAATACCAGGCCACAGCAGTGGTGAACCAAAAACTTGGAGAGTTGAGTTAAAGGGAAATAACTGAGACATCCAGAAGAGGCATGGCACGTGCAACTAGAACAATCTAGTTGATGAAATAAAGGGTTCGGTTTGAAATTCCAGTCATCTAATGAAGGCTGGGGTGTACAACAGCCAAAATGTTGTGAATATAGCAATGAAGATGAGGATAACAGTCTGGATAATGTAAATAATGCAAGTAATCATAATACCTCATCTCAGAGATATAAACAAAAATATATCCATTTATGAAAAATTCTACCCTTGTTTTTCATTCGTTAAAAGATTTGAAATGTGGATAAACAACTTAAAACTTTGGGAATTTATTTTGAATGCAAATTTAAGTCAAACTTATGCCATATTAGTTATTTTTTTATTTATTTATATTTGAATCATTTCACCCCAAGCAAGGCAAGAATGCCACTGGTATACAGGAGGTTACAGACAGTGAAGGTGAGAGAAAAGACTGGGTATAGGGGGTATGGTAGAAAGGATAAAAAATTAACAAAGATAGAAGATGCAATTCACCTTGCATTTAAATTTTTGAAGAGTAGTTATCAGGAAAGCAAGGAAACGTAAGAGAGTTCCACAGGTGGGAAGTGTGAGAAAAGAAACTGTTGGAGAAGAAGTGGCTGTTGCATTTAACTAGTTCAACAGTAAAAGGGTGGGACCTAGATGTTAATCTAGTAGAACACTTAAATGCACATAGTTGGGCACCAGGAAAAAAAGCTCATATGATACTTTTTCACCTTTTTCTTGTCCTACTGCTAGTTTGGTTTGCTTTGGTTTATTTCGTTTTACAGCATATTAACCTATTTATTTAATGCCGACAACATTTTTAGGATAGATTTTTATGAATAGAATATGTATTCTTTGGTTTAGGTTGGTTTAGTTTATTTTGTTTTACGGCATATCAACCTCAATGGATTATTTAATGCCGACAACATTTTTAGGATAGATTTGTATGAATAGAATATGTATTCTTTGGTTTAGATTGGTTTGGTTCATTTTGTTTTATGGCATATCAACCTCAATGGGTCACTTAATGCCGAGAAAATTTTTTATTGCTGATAATATTTTGTTTTGTCAAAAATCTGTTTCTGGTAATATTTTTCCCTTAAAATTTTATTGCTGGTAATAATTTTTTTCAAAAAGTGTTGCTGGTAATAGTTAACCACTTGCCCACATCTGGGACCCAAACAGGTGCCACCATTAGGCCAGGGAGAACTCGAAAACACCAGCAACTAAGAAGTGGTTCCACACTCCTCAAAACCTTCTGATCAGAGGCCCCGCTGCCACACACAGTTTAACGTCTTAAGAATGTTTATTGTATGATGCATAAATTAATAGCAATGTATATTATATTTAACTGGTAGATAACAAAGAATAGACAAATATAGATTGGTAGGTATAAACGCACCAATATTGACAGGTAGATAACAAGGGATAGACTAGTATAGATTGGTAGGTACATAAAAATCACTACTGATGGGAACACAACAGGAGATAGAATAATATAGATGTTATTCAAAATATATAACACATAAATCAATCCCAAACAAAAATAATTTAGATACTAATTTGCATATATAAAAAAAATCACTTACTCTCTTTCTTTTATTAGACATTGAATTGATTTACTTCATGTCCTCCATAATTTGCCTGACTTTTTCGTTAACTGGATGAATGTTTATGTACACTCCTATACCTAAAGATTTTGAAAAACCAATAGAATTTTTGCTATGTACGTAAATAACTGTTACAAAATGAAATTCTCACTTTAATCTTGATAAAGTGCCTCAAAGAACCAAATGTGTTGGCTAAGGTAAGTTTTCCTTTTGTCTTTATTCATAGATTGATAGATATAAACTGTTGCAGTGTACCTACAGAAATAATGGATATGCGCCCATTCCCATAAATACAGTAATACTGTATGTGTTGGTCTGCGGTCTGCAGTTGGAGATTCATTGTGGAATTCACTTGACTTACTTCTAGCAGTTGACTTCTTCTACGCACTGCCAATGAATCTTATATGTGTTGTTCTTGTCCTAAGTATTATCGTTCATTATCAACCTTTGTGTGATTATTCTGTTCAGTAACCTTCCCTACCTTACAACATAAAGATACCAGTAATGACTGGCAGATAGAAGGAGACAGACCAGTAGAGATTGGTAGGTATAAACAGACTAATATTGGGAGGCAGTTATATCTGTACTTTTAAAGAAAAGAAATTCTAACCAAGTGTATGTAATTAATCCATAAGTGTTATTTCAGAATGCAGATATATTTCCCAAATTCTTTTCTTGATTAGCAACTGAGCAAAATCTATATTTTTAAAGTGTAACTGTTCAATCAATAAATGCTAAAAATTTTGTCTAACAAATTTAACAATTACCATTCTTGTGTAAAACACAGAGTTAACCCACAGTAAATACTGCTAGTGAATACAACTTGATTCTTTTTTTGGTGCTCAATTCTTTATGACCTTGTACCAGGATACACTGAGCTTAGGAAAAATCTTCTTTTTTGTTAAATGTGAAGAAATTCAACCACAACATCAACAGATCCATAACCAAATGTGGTGGTAGTGCAGCTGAGTACCTGTCTAGATTCCTCTACATAACTTGGTTGAAAGCTGGAGAGGTATTCAGTCATGGATAGCATGTCCAGGGCAAGTTGACCTAGTGGAACCAATCTCTCTCCAGGTCAAATCAAAGCTAATTTCCTCCAACTTGAAAGGTCACTTTGGTCACAGACACATGGTCATTGATTCTATTAGGTGAACCCTCCACCCAGGCCACTGACATTAGTCTAAGAAGCCTTCTATCCAGTAGTGCTTTATCATCATCACACAGACTGCATGCATCGCCATGGAGCCTTGTCAACCCCTACATGGCCAACAAGAAGGCCTATCTATTCTTTTGTCCTGGATATGATGATAAACCAAAATGGATTAAAATAATTTCATGACAAATAATAAATGTTATATAAAGAATTTTAGAAAGAAAAACAAATTTAAATCTTTTATGTTTACTGGAAATTTTATTATTGTCAATATTTTTTCATTCATTGTTTCTTTTTCTTATCACTCATTCCCACAAAAATTGACAAAATACTTTAAAATGAAAGAATGTTATAAAAAGTTTAGAAAAAAAAACAACACTTTATGCTTAAAGGATTTTTATTTATTTACTTGCTTCTATATTTACTTCCTTCCTTCCTTCCTTACTTCTTTCCTTCCTTCCTTCCTTCCTTCCTTCCTTCCTTCCTTCCTTACTTCCTTCCTTCCTTCCTTCCTTCCTTCCTTACTTCTTTCCTTCCTTCCTTCGTTCCTTACTTCCTTCCTTACTTCTTTCCTTCCTTCCTTTCTTTGTCTATTCCTTTTTCTTCTTTTATTATTACTTTTCTCATCAAAATTAATGAAATACTTTTACAATAAAAATGTTATAAAATGTTTGCAAAGAAAAGACACCAAATGTGGTCACTGTTTTCTCAGTCTTGCTTTCATTTTAATTTATGCCTAATTGGCTAACTGTCCTGGGTATGACGATAAATTACATCCAAGTCCTGGGTGAGATGATAAACTACATCGTACTGGGTATGACGATAAACTGCACCTGCCTCCTGGGTAAGACGATAGACTACATCCAACAGCAAGGACTCTGATCAGGAGGTTTTGAGGAGTGTGGAACCACCTGTTAATTGCTGGTGTTCCCAGGTCCACCCTGACCCGGGGTGGTAACACCTGTTAGGGTGCCAGCTATGGGCAAATAGTTAACCCTGAAACAGAGGTAAAAAGCATTATAAAAGTGTAAAAATAGGTTTTAATACCAGAAATACTTTAAAAAAATTATTACCAGAAATAAATTTTTGAAGAAAAAACTATTACTAGCAATATATTTTTGAAAAAAAATTATTGCCAGCAATACATGTTTTAAAATAATATTACCAGCTATACATTTTTGAGGAAAAAATATTACCAGAAATAGATTTTTGACAAAACAAAATATTACTAGGAAAAAAGTTTTCAGCCTTAAATAACTCATTGAGGTTGATATACTGTAAAACACAACAAACCAAACCTATCCATTCTTTGAGAGCTCTTCTTTTTAATCTTGCTGAATGTCTAGCCACCCATCTCAAAAGAAATGTCTGGTTACATAGTAACAGTAGCACTTGTAGTGCGACCTGATATGAGTTGAGTATATATATATATATATATATATATATATATATATATTAAAAGAGAAGTTTGACACCACAGAATTTATATATATATATTTGAAAATGCAGAAAACCATTCTTGTTTAACGATGCTTTCCAACGAACACTTCATCAGAAGAATATGTTGGTAAATATTAGATTTACAGAATAACAATTTGCACTGTGAAAACAGAAAAATATAAGTAGGAAAAAAGGAATCATGACTAAAATACAAATTTTTAATAAAAGCAAGGAAGAAAAAAAATTCTCTGGTAAAAGAGCCAATGTAACAGGTTCCTAGTGAGTACTAAAATGGAGAAAATTCACTCACGTGTCTCCTAAAAGATCAAGAGAGCCAACAAAATGCTCTATTTGTTTGTAAAGAGGTGACTGATAAAATTTAATAAAAAGCTGTTTCTAATATCGATTTACCAAACTATGCACTGGGCTAAAATATAAAAATAATCATTAATATATATATATATATATATATATATATATATATATATATATATATATATATATATATATATATATATATATATATATATATATATATATATATATATATATATATATATATATATATATATATATATATATTTACATTATTCAGACTATTGTCCTCATTTTTGTCGGCATATTTATTACAACAACTTGAGGACACATGGCACAGTGGATAAAGGTGTTGGTTAGATCCAGTGACAGGACCCAAAGGGTATGAGTTCAATACCCAGTTAAGGCAGTGGAGAACTTGGAGAGGGGAATTAACAGGAGATAACTGATAACTGATGTCCATTAAACATGGCACATGGAACTAGAACAGTCTACCCAGTGAACGAAATAAAGGGTTCAGTTTGACATTCCAACCACCTGAAGAAGGCCGGAGCATACAACAGCCAAATTGTTGTAATAAATATGGCGACAAAGATGAGGACAATAGTCCAAATAATGTAAATAGTGTCCATAATACCTCATTTCAGAAATATAGACAGATATATATATATATATATATGTATGTATATAAATAAAAAGAAAGAACAGTAAGATAATGCTTTTAATTTAATTGCAAAATTAAATTCGGGGCTTTTAGCTTCTATTTTTGAAACATGGTTAGAACTGTGTAGCAGAAAAAACCATATTTTAAATCAATTAATTTATAATATATATATATGTATATATATATATATTGGTCAGCATTTACTAGACAAACCAGAGTTTATTTATCTTGCTATGTCAAAAGTACTCTGAAATAAAAGAAATATGTATCATGATGCTGATTTTCTCTTGTCCTTCAAAAACTTTTTCATGAATATGAAAGAATCCTATTGAAAATAAGTAAACAGAACAACATGTCTAAACTATTCAATGAAACATGTCTTTATATATATATATATATATATATATATATATATATATATATATATATATATATATATCTGATTGAATAAATTAAAAACATTATGTCTGCTTATTTTTATCATAATCCTTTCATATTCACGAATAATACCTGTTGCATACACCTGCTCACATACATATGTGGTAGTATGTTGTTTGTTGGCAATTAGGTAGAATGAACTTAGAATGTTAAAAAGCCATCAGGAGTTTTACAGGTTGCATTTAGTTCCATCAAAGGCTTAAAAAGTTTATCAAGCAATATTAGGTGAATGTTAGGTGTATCAGATTGTTAAAGCATTAATTAGTTAGTCATTTAGTAAGATAGTAAGATCATTATGAGAATGACTAAAATGTGTCTTTATTTGCCCACTGGTTTTAATAGAAATTTCCAGAGTTTACCTTTATGTCAGCATCTCCTAGAACTGAAAATAAACAAGGCAAAGAAAAACAGGATATATAAAGAGCAAAACAATATTAGCCCAAATAAATGAGGTACATGGTTAAAGTCAGTTCGCACCTGGCAAATGAAACCTTTTTCCTTTGTACATCTAATGTGGCTTTTTCTATTTTCACTTACTCCTTTTTAAATTCACGATTTTATGATGAGCAAAATGAAGTTGGCAGAGTCACAATGTGTTTTTCAGGAGAATGGTAACAGAAGCCGTTCTCAGGAATGAATCAAAGTTGGCAAAAAAGGATCCTGAAGAAGACATGGCGCCATTCCAGTTCTTTCTCTAATGGCTCATTCAACTTGTACGCCTTTGTTCACACTAACTTTATTGAAGAAGAAACAAGTTTCTTCTTGTCATTTTCTGGCTCAAAATTTTTCCTCTATCTTATCAACTTTATTTTTAGTGCATGAGATTTTTGTTT